GGGGTTACCGAATGCAAGCCTTTGAAAGTCAGTACATTTTAGGAAATTCCCTATCTTATATCACTAGCTCAAAATCCTGTAGCACCAGTTTTTTTTTTGGGACCCAGTTCACGAGCCTCGTTTTCGAATACCGCGCTCCAAAATCGAGTGCCGTCACCGTCATTGTGGTCGCCCATCCCTCTATTTTAAATTAAAAATCAATCGTTTCATCCCCGCACCCCCCCCCCTTTAAAAACACAAACACTTTTTGCGCGCGGGGTGGGGTGGGTATGATAAATTACTAACCGGGAAAATTATTACCTTTGCCCCCCGACCCAAGACCCCTGTTACGCGCCTGAGTTTGAAGTACACGGCAATGGACAAACACTGTATACCCTTGTCGAAAGAAAAAAAACAGTTCGCAACTACTTAGTTTGTTTTTTTATTCAACTTGCCACCGACAAGGTGTATGTTTTTAAATTGATTGTGGTGAAATAAATGAAATGATAATGTGTGGGTAAAACGAACAGTGCTCCTACATCTCCCCTATGCTGTCTAATTTCAGTCTGTCATTTATTCATTAAATATTGTCTGTTGGCATTGGCTATTACCAAGACCACAACCCATCCTAGATTCAGAATTACTTCAAATGATGATGATGTTTCTATTCTACAATACGATTATGTGTTTTATCTTTTTAAGGTGGGCAATTTCCAGTAATCGATTTTACACCTTCGGGTAAGAAAATTTTTGTACTATTATTATTATTATTATTATTATTAATAAATATATTTTAATGTTTGCACCAGTGTAAACACTGGTGCAAACATTAAAATATATTTATTTTACTTTAACAGTGTGGACTATGGTGATATACTGTTTCTCAAAAATTGTAATTGCAGTGCATATATCTTATTTACTTGAAAAAGAAAATGTACTTTCGGAAGTCCAGGGAGGTTTCAGATCACATCACCGATGTGAAGAACACATCTTTACATCAAAAAGTATTTTATCTTGCCTTTCAATTGAAGACAAAACTACATCTGGTCTTCCAGGATTTCTGAAAATCAGTTGATAGTGAATGGCGGGATGGTCATAAAATCCACTTCGGATGCATGCATTCGTACAAGGGAAAATTTTGAGAATCATATGTTCATTATACGATGACGTTAAAGCAAAATTAGAAGTGATAGTATGACAAATGTTTTTAATAGAGATAAATGAAGGTGTGTGTACTTTCTCCAATTTTATTTTCTATTTTTATTAAGCTGTTGGTTAAGCTTCTTCGTGAAAGTAATTTGTGCATAAGAATGAATGGTATTTGGATGGGAGGGCTTTCTTTGGCAGACGATGTTATTTTGATATCTAATAATGAATGGGAAATGACTGAAATGTTAACAATTGTTAAAATACAAATGACCCATTTTCTGCTCAAAGCCCCATGCTATACACCGAAAGAGGCATTTTATGGTGACCTTGTGTGGGTACCCCTATTCCCGATTTTTGGACAGAGCAAAATTGTTTAATAGATTGATAATTATGGATGATCACAGATGGCCCAGTGTTGCACTTAACTCCATGCTTCACTTAAAATTGACAATTGACATACTTGCAAAATCTACAAATTTAGACATTTATAACCATCGTATAATAAACATATGATTTATAACCATGTTTTTGATATTGATAATTCAGCTTTTACTTCTTTTTCAGTCAGCACTGTTGGGCACTATGTGTCAGAACTGTATAGATTAGAATGGTCAAATAATGTACCGCAAAAAACATCTTTATACAACATATATATTCAAAATTATAATCTTCACCCAACAAAAAATATTACTAGATAAAACAGATTTTTATTGTGCAAGTCTGAAATTAAACTGAGGTCTAACAAACTACCTCTAGATTGCAAGCGCTGTAAGCAGTCTAATAATGTATCAGATCTTTGCTAATTATGTGGAAGTGGTGAAATTGAAGATAGCAAATATTTTTTACTAAACTGTAAAGCATTCAATAAAATCAGAATAGAAGAATCTACCATTCTAAAAAAGGAACTTACATTTTGTAAGAATTATGACACATGGATTTTTTACTAAACAGCCAAAATTATATTAAGTTAATATATATTTTCGACGAAGATTTTGTTGCATTAAGTAATAAATCTTGCACAGTTTTTGACAATTATTGTAAAAGGTTTACAAAAGTTAAATATTTATAAAAGCAATAACTAAGCCTGAAGAAAGAATGTTCGTTCTGTAATATTTTTTCATTTGCACCAAAATTCATTGCAGATGGGGATAGTTTAAATGCATTACTGTATGTGATATGATTCTTCACTTTGTTTCTCTCTCTAAATCATTCGTTATTAGGAAGTACGGTTCCATCAATAATCCAAACTCATGGACCATCGTCTGTAAAAACTTATACGGAAGCATTAGAAGACGGCATTGTTGAGGTGAACCTTGGAACGATTAAGGTGATAGGACAAGAAAGAGCGGGTAAAACCTGCCTCATAAATTCCTGCCTTGGTAAAAAGTAAGCAAATATATAATTATTAAGTATTAAAATAATAAATGAAAATGGAAGAAAATAGCAATAATCATGTTCTATATCCATTAGAAAGTATCACTGTGACCTAAAATAATAATAATGGCGTTGGCGATAATGATGATGATAACAAGAGCTCTCAATAAAGGTCACATATTCACCCCGGCACTACAGCAACTCCTTTTCTATAACATAAATCTCCAAAAAATATGTTCCAAAGAGATAAAAAGTAATAGAAAATAAGATTAATAGTAAAATTTGACGACAACCATGATGGATTTATATAGCTCAAATAAACAAGGTCTCTGTGTAATAGGTAAGAAGACAACAAAGAAATGGGAAAAGGCTGAGTAAATAAACAAAAAAAATACAAACAAAAAAATGCCAAGCTACCACCGAAACCAAAGCATGGAGGTCATATCATCACCGCCAACCGGAGATCTGTGTTTGTGTACTCCAATATTATCATCATGGATCTGTTTTTGCCTTAAAGCATAGCGTTTCTGCAAATATTGTTCCAAGTATATTAGGTATTTTGCCAGAGACAGCAGATCTTCAATACTTTCTAGATCCAACTGTTGGTCCAGTTAGCTTTGCTTAATCTTGATTCCTTACTGGTATCAGGTGCCTCTTAACCAGGACAAAATAGAAACTCAGTGCTCATGTAGGCCTAGAATGTCCTACTTTTTACTATCAAAATGATTGAATTTACCCTCACTAGGGAAACCAATGTAAGGGAAATCAGCTTTAGGGTTATGGAAGTTGAGTCTGAGAAAGAGGTAAGGGTGAAAATGTTTAACAAATATACAAATTAGTATGGAAAGAATAAAATAATATAAACAGAATATATTTATAAGTTTAAGACTTATTGATACATACATTACATGATGTAATGATGAATAAAGAATATGTCTTCAGCAAATAAAAATATTCTGAGAATCTACAAGAAATCAACATTTATCAATCACATACTGCAGATTTAACCAAGATGAAGAAATTACAGATGGAATAGCAACCACTAAGATTATAACCAGGACAACCAATAAAACTGACGTATGGAGTGAAAATCTTACTAACGTTGGTAAGAAAACGAATCACAATAAGTAAATACTTATTTCCAATAATGTCCAATAAACATAATTATTATTATCGGTGTTGCCAATAAAATTCCTATTATAATTATAAAAATCATAGTCATTAGTACTATAAATTAAAAAATATAAATAAAATTTAAAGTAGGAATATAAATTATAAAACTAAAAATAATATTATTATTACAATTGTTGAGGTTATTCTTTTTAGAATTATAAAATAATACAAATTAAAATTTATGATTTTTTTTAGAGCTGATACCAGAACAATTAAAATAATAAATGTTTTAGTTGAATTATTATTATTGTAACGTGCTTGATGGTGTGTTCTGAGATGTATTTCGAAGACAATATATCTTAATTTTTAATGAAGTAAAACAAAATAATTAAAAAGTTTAGTGATATTAAATAAATGGGAAAGAACATAACCAAAATGCCTTCTCAATAGGTAATGCTACTGAAAGCTATGAGAGGTCAATGGCAGAGACAGTTTTTATGAAAACAGTAGACAACTATGGCTCTGTTGGAGAAATGTTTTTTGATTATAGGAAATCTATTAAAGAAGCATCATCAGAAAAAGTAAAAACTATACATGAGACCCCAAATGAAAACGTGAGTATGGCTATAATATATTATCGATACTGCTGTTTCTATATACAAACATTATTGTATTGTGTTATTGAGAAGGAGATCACTCGGCAACAGATCCCTTATATTGATATATTTTATTGTTGAGCACTGCTCAAAACCAAGCAGAGTTGTGTTTTATGTGTATGTAAAGGTAGCAATTGTGCAATATACCAAATTAATTTGTCATATCTTTGAATTAAGATTTACTTATTAGACACCGTGACATTCTTATGCTCAGTACCCCAGAAATAAAGCTTGCCTACAGTGGGTTACCTTTTTCACAATAATGTATTTTCATTTAAAATTTATAATTTATTGTGTTTATATATATATATATATGTGTGTGTGTATGTGTGTGTGTGTGTATGTATCTGTTTTGATATGTGAAATAAATAGATACTTGTACTACTTGAAATAAACAATGAAAAATAACTAGGCATATGTTACAAATACACCATGTTACATTTCATTCCATTTTGTATGTTTCGTTTTTGTAGCTGCAGGTTACCAGTGTAATCACAAACACAGGTAGGTATTAATACATCCTGGCATTGTGAAAATTTCACTTCAATAACCATAGGCCTAGGTTGTTTATGGTGAACTCTACTACATTTTCTTAATAGGGCTGTTCCTTATATAACAGCCGACTATTATAATGACACTATCTAGAACATTTGGTGGTTTAGTATATTTTTCAGTAGTAACTTTGAATTTGCTGGTTTTATTGTCTTATCGGTCAATATTACTGTCTTTCAAATATAAAAACGCAATTGTCTCTTGGTGTCACTAAAACTGCAAAGAAACAAATAAAAAGTGGAATCGATAAACTTGAAGGTTCATGAACCTGTAGAACGTTTGTAACGGTGACACTTAGCAGTGTGTAAATAAGGTATTAAGGTAATCTCGGGTAACTGTTTCCTTGTAATTTAGTGTATACATATATACATATATATAAATCACAACAGGCTTACGTTTTAAGCCAATTCATTGACAGATTTGCAACTGAATGAAGGACCACCAAATACCAAATCTTTGCCATTGTCAATTCGTGAAAAGATGGTCAAATTTGTTGGTAGAGGAATGTATTACAGAAAAGAATTGGTAAAATGGCATAGGATCAACGAGGACACATTTAACATCTGGGATTATGGGGGCCAGGTAATCTACCATGGAATTCATCGGGTAAGTCTTCTTTAAACCATTCATATGTTGAGATTATAAGAGTACCGATTTTGATGGTGATACATAGCACAGATGCTCAGTGATTTTACCGTAGTTTCATTTGGTTGCAATGCTATAACATATACCAGTATTTTTTAATAGATCTTCATGACATCAATGGCAGTTTACATTGTCGTGTTTAACCTTAACGTCAATCTGGATGACAAGGCCGTTGTAATGGATTCATCAGGGGTAAATTTAGTATTATTAATATATATTTCATTGACTAAATGTTTTTTAAAAGGACATTTGTATATTTTCCGATATCAACACCTTTATCTGTTATTTATAGTACTGTTTTGTTATAGTACATTATAGGACATATTACTGTATAAAGTATATAGACATTAACAAATATTAGTTTTAAAAAAGTGTTATTATTGTCACATTTACATCATCTTTCTCATTATAATTATATTATCGTTATCATAATTATATTACTTTATCTTTGTTATAATTTCCATTATTTTTATACCATTATTATCATAGTTATTGTTATTGTTATTTATTATTATATAAAACGTTTATTATAAAAAATAATTTTCAACCAATATTATGCTATGAAATCATCTTTTGTTATTTGTTTTCCTTTCAAGCAAATGCGCATTCACCACCTGACAAACCTTGAGTTCATATTATATTGGATTTTGTCAGCGTACATTCACAGCCGTGAGTTAAAAAATGACCTGAACCTACAGATTGCATTACCGGCTATTGTCCTTGTGGGTACCCACCGAGACTCCCTTGGATCCACTGAACAGGAAAGGATAAGCAAGGTTAATACTTATTGAAAGAATTGGAGCAGAATATAATTACTTTACACCAATAGTATACATACTCAGAGTTTTCAGAATGATGTCTATAACATCTTGCAAACATGTGTGTAATGTGTTTAAAAAGCTAGAGGCACTATCATTATGGTCGTGATGGCTGATTATACCTTTGACAATACACGGTTAAGAAAATGGATAAATTATTTATTACTGTACTTTTTTTCTTACCAAATTATATGACCAGGTAAAGGAAGCGTTTGACAAAATAGAAAAGGCACTGATGGGTAAACCATACGAAAAGCATGTGTACCCAACATACTTTGACATCGAAAATAATCGTTCAGAAGTAGATGGCAATATTGCTAAGCTGAAGAAAGTGCTTGATCATCTCATGACAGCATTGGACAAGCCCATTCCGTTGAAATGGATGCGCTTCCGTAGCGAAATTCATAAGTTAAAGGATACAACAGTAGTCTGTCCTTTGAAAAAGGTAAATTTTTCCAGTATTAAATATTTTTTTGTACAGTATTTGTTTTACAGTAATTATTGTTAAATATTTGTGGTCAGTAATTATCATAAAATTTAGCCTATATTAAAATATTTTTGTCTATCTTACAATATTTCTGAAAATTATTTAGTAGATAAGTGGAGTGATATGAAATTCCTCCACCCCCCCCCCCCCCCCCCAAACAGGGAAAAAGTGCTAAAAAATCAACACTTCGCTTTTGTCAATGTTGTAAACGATGAATGTTTAAAAAAACACTCGTACACACTTACTGTGATATTTTCAATAAAATCAAAAGTTTCATCAGCATTTTGGAATTCTCAGAAATGGTACATCAAGAGTGAGCATAAATTAGAAATAGTGTTACTGCATAAATTGACAAAGTACTGCTAAAATTGCAGCAGTGTTGAAAGTTTTAAGTTTGTTAATTAAAGAATAATTCATCTTTTTACACCATATTCAAATGTAGAAACAAATATTTCTCAACAAAACATTAATTAACTCGTAGCTTCATTCAAGTATTAATTGTTACTTAAGGTGAAAGAATTGGCTGCCAAGTTTGGAATAAACGAGGAAAATCAACAAAGTGTCCTATTGAACTTCTTGTATGACCTTGGCGAAATCATATACATGCCTGACAACAAGGTTTTACAAGAGTATGTGGTATTGAATCCAATGCATTTTGTTGAAATGGTCACAACAGTCATCACTGTGAAACAACCCAACTTGGAGGTAAGAATAAACTTATCCCTTGTATTGAATATGTAGATTGGTGGTTACGATGATCGATTTCCAATTCCATAGTCATATGTTCAAATTCTGTAACAGTATGGGTTTTTTTTTTTTTTTTTTTTTTTTTGCATGACTAATAAACCTCTCCACTCCTGTGAAACCTTGACTTAGAAGTACTGGGATGGTGTCCGGCGAGGGTTAGGTTAATCCTTGTTAAGTGTAGGTTTTCAAATTCAAAATTCTGTTAAAATTTTAGCCCCCATAGTTTGTTAAAATAATCATTTAAGTGATTTTTACCTCTATTTTGTAATCTTGACCCCGAAACATTGACTCCAAAATACCGGGTTGGTGTCCGGCGGGTATAGACATAGACATAGACATAGACATCACTTTATTAATCCAAATCCTTGGAAATTACATCGCTCTTTCAATAAATTAAGCAGGAAAAGTAATTCAAATGCAATAAATAATAACTATCTTACATATCTACTATTAAACAGGTAAATGCCCCTCACAATGAATGAGTTAGAATAACGGTTCGTGTTAGCAGCCGGTACCCTCAGTCTACCGCTGCGTTGTATAACGCAACTAGCAATAGTTGAATGTAACGGGGGACTTTCGTCAGACATCATGTTATCAAAATTAACTAGTCGTTCTTCGTAGACTGAGTGCACCGATTGCAGTTCCGAACCGATAATCTTCCCAAACCTGTTAACAAACTTCTGTAATCTGTCCCTATCACCTTGTGAAATATTCCCAACAAACTAAGCAGTAACAAAGTAATCCGAGAATAATAGAATTATAAAATGACAGCATTATCTCCTTCCTGACCTGAAAAGAATTAAGTTTCCTAAAGCAAAACATTCTCACATTAAGTTTCTTAACTAAATGGTCACAGAAAATTCCCCACGACAGTTGATTATCATAGATTACCCCCAGATATTTATACGATGTAACTTGTGCTATTTCTTTATTTTCAATAATGATACTTTCTTCCTTAACCCGCTTTTTTCGAAAATCAATCACCATTTCTTTCGTTTTCTCTGTATTTATTTCAAGAAAGTTATCTTTACAATAAGACACAAACCTTTGAATTTCTGAAATATACAAAGACAGGTCGTCCTTCCTAATTAGACCCAAGATTACCGTATCATCAGCATATTTAATTGTTGGACATTCATTAGCTGATCTAAAGTCAGCAGTGTAAATAGTGAATAGAAACGGAGCAAGTACGGTGCCTTGCGGGGCACCAGTATAGTTTTTACCATATTATATTTAGGTCAATGTAGTTGAGCCCAACCTTAAAATTTCTTGCCCCGAAACCTTGACTCAGAAATACTGTTTTGGTGTCCGGCGAGGGATGGTTTTTTGTAGTTAAGCAAATGTAATTAAACCAAACCATGTAATTCCTTGCCCCGAAACCCTTGTACTCAGAAATACCGTCTAGGAATAATTTCCACCCTAGTTTAGGGTTTATGTAAAGTGCCTAGAGGGATATGAGATGCTATACAAATACTTTATTATTATTATTATTAATGAGACCTACTGTAGTATATAAAGCCTCAAAATTATTTTCCTTTATTTAAGACATTTCCAAATATCAGTCACCTTCTTTAAAATGGTATGAAAATCATATGTATTGTTCAGTCTGAAATAGTAAAAAAAAAAATCATAATGTTCTTTCTGTGTTATTTCAGTCAGCCCTGTATAAAAACCTCTACAGGAAACTTAACGAGGGTATATTAGAGGAGCCGTTGTTCAAGAAGCTTTTGGAAGATCGTGGTGTTGATTTGAAGAAGTTTGACTTTTTTGTCGAGTTGATGAGACGATTTTGTCTTCTTTGTGAGAGAAAAGTAAGTTTAAATTGTATTACAACAAGACTTTAAATTATTTAGCTATGGATTGATAAATACATCAAATGCAAATGTTATATAATACCATGCAGGCTCCAAAAAGACTAAGAGAAGCCATGATTCAATATTTTGTTTTTTATTCGAACATCATCAGGAATGAAAAATAATTCTGTCCATAGGGACCGTATACCAGAATTTAAGTAGCTTAACTAACCAATCAAAAGTGAGAAACCGGTAAAATTGACCAATCAAGGCAAACAAGGTGTGACATATTATTAATGAATTAACAGCACACCTTAAAACAAAATCAGTCTTGATAAAGTGTGAACACATTGTTAATATGAATAAATAAATAAACTTGATGTTAATGGCTAGTTCAACAATGCAAGTTCTTCGGATGCTTTTTATCCAGTATTTAAACATGGTTTATAGCGCCTAATAGCCAAATTTTGTTTAGTTATGAATACATACTGTGGGTGAAACTGAAGAGAGCAACAATGCAGTCGGATAGAATTTATTACAAGTTCAGCAATATTTCATGATTGGTTGCTCTTTATTATGAATATAATATCGCTTTCATTAAAAAGTGTTACATATTTTTTGATAGGAAGCCAAACCAGGAAACCGTTCTTTCTTTGTCCCACTTCGACTGGCACTTGAACCATCGTCCGATGAACATAGACGGGTCGTCAGTTATGGTGAGCGCGCTATAAGCATATACCATGACTTCTGTGGATACCTTCCGGACGAGTTGTTTCCACAGCTGGTTACAGAGTTTATCAACAGGTTTCAAGACGAAGACGGAAATGAACAACCAAAGCTGGCACTTGATCATGCAGAACTTTACTTCGATCAATATCATTTTGTAATAATGTCTGCAATTACTTTTGGACTAAAACGACTGCTGAGGGTAATACATGTTTTTTGTATGAATTTTGTAAAATTCTATTACACTATATTACTCCATATTTGATATTGGTAAATACTCTTATGTATTTCTAATATTGCTAGTTTTATTACGTTTATTTCCATTTGTCGTTTCTTTATTACACTTTAAGCAGATCACTTCAATGGGACAAACTAGCTCTCAATAATTGTGTTTAATGATCCATGACAGTCGACTCTCTTAATGTTTCTTCAGTGTTGTTGTTGCTTTTTTTTTTGTACCTAATTCTAATATGTGCCTGATGTTTCTGATCTTTTAAATGTTTTCGTTTAAGCCAGTTCACTGTCAAGGAACCTGTTTTATTTTTTTGTGTTATTGACTTTATTATACGTTAAAAGACTATATAATAAATGAAATGGTTTCCATTCAGACAACTATTCTTAGAAGGAAGCGAGACGACAGAGCACAGGAAGACCTTGAACCATTACCAGAAGCCTGTAAAACGGTATGTTGTAATTCCTCTAAAAATAATAATAGTAACCTATTGTGTGATTATTAAGTCGCTTAGCCTAATAGTCTTATTTGGTATTTGGTTTAACCCTGTCAAA